AACCAACACAGTCGGACAGCTCCCCATAGCAGAAGCCTGCCCTTTGTGTCATTCAGGTCTATTCTCTGTCTCCCTGAGATCTGACCCCTCCCCTGCCAAGGCATTGTGTTTCAAGACATGGCATTAGAATTTTGAGACATGCACGTCCTTTCTATAGGTCTCACCTCACTGCATCTTCCGCAAATAGGGCTGCCAACATGATCAAACTTATCTGTTGTCCTATATCCATTCTGACTCCCCATGTCCTGCATCTGTATTGTCTAGGTGCTAGGAACTCCTATTTCAAATCCAGTGTCATATGCTGAATTTCTCTCCTTAAGTGGAGTGCTTTCTTCAAATCCTCTAGATCCCTTTTAAAAATTCTCTGAAAAAGTGTCTTCCATTCCAGAATTACCATCCTTTGATTTCTGGCTAGCCTGCACCACACAGCGCCCACCATCTCCAGGCCACAAGGCAATGACAAATTTGTATCCATGCTGTGGACACACTTCAACTGTCCCGTGTGGGTTCTCTACATCCTATAAATTTTATAAAGTCTAGAAAGAAATTTCTGGATTCTGTCTTAGTTATAGTTCCCTCCATCAAGTATCGTTATATTAGTCCCTCAACAAATTTGCTCTTCAGCATTTTATCAGTATCTTGGACTTCATGTAGTTCTAACTTTTCTATTGCTTGCAAAGCCTCTTGTAATTCCAACGTGTATTCGCTTACACTTTCTGCTGGACTCTGGATTGTGCAGAACAACCTCTGCTTCAGTTCTGACAAGGTATGAATGTCAAACATACAGCTTAGCCTTCCAAATACCTGTTCTACAGTCCCTTTTACATTTTCCGGCCATGTTCGCACTTCCCTTTTAGCTGCATCCTCTAATTGCCCCAACAGAATCTCTATTTTCTGTCTTTCTGGCAGCTTATGCAATCTGAACATCAGCTGAAGCAGCCTTAAATTCCCCAATAGTCTTCTCTAGAAAAATCTAGGCAACAAAGATGTGGCATGGTTAGGGGTGCCGGTATGAGTTGCCCTCCTGTCGACCTTTCCCCTGCATTACCGTGACTCCTGTTGTTCTAAGATGGTTATCTCCTGCTTTGAACTCTTCCTATCCTGTTCACGATGCCAACTGCAGTGACCCAGGCCTCAGCTAGGCTATGCCAACTGTGAAGAGAGGCAGATGCAAGCCAACACAATAAATAACCTTAAATTTCAAACTTTATATAGGAAAAACCCAGAAATGTGGAAGGAACAACAATGTATACAAAAGATTAATATAATAAACATCCAGTACTCACTTAGGAAAAAAACTGTAAGTTACCATCACAATACAAAGTTTTTCCAACTCTTCCTCTCCCTGGTTGCAAAGTCCAGCTTCACCTCAGTTATCCCACCTTCACCTCTTTCTAGCTTACAATGCTCCTTCCACGCTGCAATGTCCGCACCTCTTTCCATCAGGTTCACCTGCAAACAACAGCTCTTCTCGCAAAGGGCTACACCTGTTGACCCATCATCCCAAACTGTATTCCCTGTATTGTGTGAATCCTGCAGAAGTCATAATACTGAGTTTATTTGCCATGTAAATGATTGCCATTAAATTCAGTTATAACATCACTGTGGGGTGAATTAAGAACATATGGTATGAGAGGAAACAAACTCATTTCAACACCAATTTTAAGGAATTTCACATATTACTTTCTAATCATCAAATATATGTGAGAGGTAATTGGATTTAGAGTGTTAAGGAAGAAATATCCGCAAGTCTTCCATGGCGTAAAGCCCTTCTAACTATGGTGTTATTAGTTGCAAGTAAAATCTGGGGGGTAATCATCAAGAATAAATATATTGGTTACAACAAAATAAAAGCCACTCTCTGTTTTCCATCCCACAAAGACTCAAAAGTGATCCTGTGAGGCTCAAGAGAATTAAACATTTAACTGCTTTTCCATTTCACATCCTTACCAGGACTGGTGGTACCAAAGTATCACAAGAAAAGCTATTTTTACTTTACTTCTGAATCAATTTACATACACCTGAAATCTCAAGAGAGAAAAATACTAAAACCTAACCAAACCTTAAGATTTTGCCTCTTGAGCATGCAAAACTAGGCAACAGCCTTTCAGTGATACTATCGCCTCCCTTTTCTCCCCGACTCCAGTCACACAGGACACTGTCTTATCCTCATGACCTGGTCTTCCATTGACAAAGGTCAAATTCAGACATCAAGTTTGGGAATGCACTTGGGTTCTTTCAAAGTATGCTCTTTACTCAATTTAATTTAATAGGAAATTCAACCATAATTATATATCTTTATTTTTTAAATTAAGGTTTCTTGACTTTAATATTTGACAATAAATGATCTCTCAAATATTTATTGAAAAAAATCAGTTAAATTGTCAAGATATGTATTACAACTAATTTGCAGAATGAAATACAGAAATCAAAAGTTAAGAGAAGAGTCTACCCCATATGGTGCTTACAAACCATGGAGATGTATATTTCATATAATAGAATCATAGGACCGGAAGAGACCTCGAGAGGTCATCTAGTCCAGTTCCCTGCACTCATGGCAGGACTAAATATTATCTAAACCATCCCTGACAGGTGTTTGTCTAACCTGCTTTTAAAACCACCAGTGATGGAGATTCCACAGCCTCCCTAGGCAATTTATTCCAGTGCTTAACCATCCTGACAGTTAGGAAGTTTTTCCTAATGTCCAACCTAAACCTCCCTTGCTGCAATTTAAGCCCATTACTTCTTGTCCTATCCTTAAGAAGTACAACCTTTTATGTACTTGAAAACTGTTATGTCCCCTCTCAGTCTTCTTTTTTCCAGACTAAACAAACCCAATTTTCTCAATCTTCCTTCATAGGTCATGTTTTCTAGACCTTTAATCATTTTTTTGCTCTTCTCTGGACTCTCTCCGATTTGCCCACATCTTTCCTGAAAGGTGTGTCCAGTTCTGGGCGCCAATACTCCAGTTGAGGCCTAATCAGTGCGGAGTAGAGCAGAAGAATTACTTCTTGTGAGAATATAAAACTCACAAACAGATAAAATAAATCAAGAACCCTCTGTGTAATAACAGTTCTAGCCCTCTACATTCATCTTTTAAGTAAGTACAAATACATTTTGTACAGCAATGTGAATTTTAATACAGTATAACATTTTCCCTGGGGGGGAAAAAAATATTAAATGATTTTGCAGAATTGGATGTTACATTGTAGAATTCTTCTCTAAATTTTTGTTGTTTGTATTTTACCATTTGAGTTAACACTGATAAATCCAAACATATTTATAATAGATCCATAATTCTACTCCATTGCCAAATTTAATAATACTGCATTTCATTCTCATTAATTACTGTATGAAAGAGATTGATTAAATGCGTGAGAAAGGAAATAAATGGGTTACATTTGAGTTGTATGAATGCATTTTGATAACCCCTCAGGAAGCCACCACACATCCTGTTTCTTCTCTTAGCTGCTTTGAAGTCCTTGTCGGTCGCATCACACATTATCTGTCTCCCTCTTCACCCTCCCTCCTGCCCCCATGTCTTAGGACATTCATCATTTGGTTTTCCAGGTTACTGAATTTACGCAGCTTTAGCTATGACAGCCCTTCCTCATCCACCAACAAAAATCTGACTCTTTTTCTCTCTCTCCCCCCTCCCACCCCACATTAACACAAGTTACTGTTTCCAGAGTAGCCTTGTACCAACTTCCTGCTACATCAATAATTTCGCAAGATTTGCTTGACAAATAGACTCTTATGCCTAGGGTTTTGTGGAGCTGAGTTTTTGTTTGTTGGCATAAAAAAAAATGCTTCACTGAAACGTGCACTCATTGCAGCATCTCAACTCCAACTGCTCAACAGCACCCTCAACTACATGTCAATTTCCTCTGCATGTGTCATTTCTGCTCCCAATAACTAATTCTCTGCCCTCAAACAGAAATCCATTCCTCCCAAGAACAACTTCTACAGTGCCAATTGACTCTGCATGTGTCAGTCGTGCTCCTCATCACCAAGTCCCTCTGTCTCAACTGCATACAGGCCCTTACCTCAATAACTCATTCACTCTCTCCTACTGCCAGCTTCCTCTGCACATATCCACCCAGCTCGCAGCCTCAGTAACTCCTTTGCCAGAGATGCATCCAGACAGCAGCCCGTCGGAACACTTAATCCACCACCTCCAGACAGAAATGCTGATCTCCAACTCATGTTTGCCCTACCCTCCAAACACACCCAGAGCCCTCTACCCATACCCAGAGTGAACCCCAGTACCACCCCCATCCATACCCACCCTACCCCCACATTCCCAATCCCTCCACTCATATCCCACTACAACCCCCATGTATGCCCACCCTGCCCCACACAACCCTATGTCCTCTACCTATACCTCAGTGCCACCCTACCCATGCCCCCCACAAACACGAGAGCCCATAACCCATAGCTCCCACATACACCCAGACCACCACAACCACACAGGGCTGCCCATGCTCATGCCCACCTTTCACACCCCAGAGGCCTCCACACCTCCCACACACACCCATGCCACCCCAACCCCACAGAGCTGCCTGTGCCCATGCCCACCCCAGAGAGGCCTCCACACCTCCCACACACACCCGTGCCACCCCATGCCCACACCCACAGAGCTGCCCATTCCCTACCGTACCTCGTTAGCGCCTCTATTAAGATACCAGTTGCCTGTAGCCTTCACACCTCTTGCCCTCCAGAGCAGAGCAAAAGCCACCCACCCCGAGACGCCTCCTCTCCCCCTTCGCCGCCGCCCCACACGCCGGGGCAGGAGCCGGCCCCAAGAGGCAGGAAGAGGGCGCGGACAAAAGGGAAACCTGGAAGAAAGGACAGCGCCCGCACAGGGAGGACCGAAGGAGAGAGGTCCAGGGCAACAGCGGTGACTCAGTGCGGCAGCCCAGGGCAGAAAGGCCCCCGTAGTGTCCGTGCCCGGCCGGCCCCTCCCCAGGCCCCGCTCCCCTCCCCGCTCTCTCACTCACAGATCTTCCCCCGCAGGTTCTGGAGCACTCGGACCCCTTCGCCGTCACCATCCTCGGCCGCCATAGTGCCGCCGCCGCCACCTGCGCTGCGCGCTAACAAGGAGGAGAGGAGGCGGCTGCCCCTTCCCTCTACGGTCCCGTCCCTTGTGCGGCAGGGAGCGGAGGCCCGGCAGGCGGCACCTCGCCGCGCCGCTCCGCCCACTCCGCTTCTCCCATTGGACAGCAGAGCGGCAGACGCAGACGCATTTCCTTCTGTCGCGCGGGCGATTCAGCACTGCTGCTGCCGCTGCCCTTTTGATGCCGAGCTTCGAGCCGGGTGGGGCAGTTCCTGTCTCTTCGCCACGCTGGGCCTCCCCGTGCAGTGACGCCCGCGGCCCGTGACAGCCCCGCCCTCAGGAGAGCTGGGCGGGGCTTCTCTCCATGCCCAAAGCCAGCGCGCGCGGGCTAGCGGGGCCGCCAGCCGGCCGGTCAGAGCGCAGTGCCGGGGGCTGGGGGCTGAGGGTGGGCGCTGGACGGGCTTGTACCGAGAAGGCGAGTGGGAGGCCTGTGGGCAGGACGGGGGGCTTCTAGTGAAAACCGTGGGGGAAGTTTATGGTTTTCACTCCGAAATAAAAGTCTGTAGTGGGTTGGGCTGGGTTTTGCCTTGAGTTGGCCCCGAGGTTGCACGTTGAATGGGCGCCTTGTAAACAAATTGGATAAAATAATCCCATTATTTCCTTGGCTTGTCGCACCTTCCCTCAGCAGTTGTTGCTCATAGATTTAGATTGTAATCGCTTCAGGGCAGGGACCATCTGGCTATGTGGGTACAGTGCCAACTAAACACAATGGGGATGGAGCCTCTGGGCACTACTGCAATACAAAGAATAATAGGTGCAAAGAGCTTCTTCAGCCCTAGAGCGCCAACCACTTTGCAAAGACAGAATTTGTAGTTTTATTTAACCACCAATCTCACAGGGGGAAAAAATACCCAGGAAATCTGGCATTAACCCCTGCAAATGCTCAAGGCAATGTTTTGCATGACATTAGTCAGGACTTTCTTGGGGCTCGCTGGCTGCTTCTTGAAGGACAGTGCTTCTTTTTTACTATCTGCTGCAGGAGCCTATGGCTATATCTACACTGGAATAAAATACACCTCTACCCCGATATAACACGAATTTGGATATAACACGGCAAAGCGGGGGGGGGCGGGCTGCGTGCTCTGGCGGATCAAAGCAAGTTTGATATAACGTGGTTTCACCTATAACACAGTAAGATTTTTTGGCTCCTGAGGACAGCGTTATATCAGGGTAGAGGTGTACTTGTGGCTGGCCAGGGTGAGCTGACTTGGGCTCGTGGGGCTTGGGCTTGGGCTGTGGAGCTAAAAATTGCTATGTAGACATTCAGACTTGTGCTGGAGCCCAGGTGCTGGGACCCTCCCCTCTCATGGGGTCCCAGAGCTCAAATCAGCCTGTGTCCAAATGTCTAGACAGCAGTTTTATAGCCTGAATCAGGCCAGCTGCAGTTGTTTAATTGCTGTACACTATGAAGCCTAGATGGTGCTGCAGAATGCCATAACTAAATGCAAGAGTTCAGCTAACTATGATGGGATAATAATCTCACACTGACATTTTTGCTGCAAGTGTGAGGCCAGAAGAAAGCTGATATGGGGCTGTGCCAGGAAAGCTGAAAAAACTACCACCTGTGAACCAGGTTAAAAAAATATATAGAAATGTACCTATCTCATAGAGCTGGAAGGGACCCTGAAAGGTTATTGAGTCTAGCCCCCTGCCTTCACTAGCAGGACTAAGTACTGATTTTGCTCCAGACCCCTAAGTGGCCCCCTCAGGGATTGAACTCATAACCCTGGGTTTAGTAAGCTAATGCTGGAACCACTGAGCTATCCCTCCCCTGTCAGGTTATAGGTGAAGTAATATTATTTTCTTCTCTACTATGGTCTAAAGATGAAGCAGAATTGTATTGGATGATATGCCATTAGGAAAAGAGGTGGGATGATGTAAGCGGAAGGTTTCAGAAGACTCAATGGCAGTTGGACATGATTGTAGTTGGATGCAAAGCTCTCTTTAAGGATGGAATATTGAAAAAATTCAGTGGCAGTTGGAAATTACAGTTGTCAGGACTCTCTAAATGTAGAACAGCAGTTCTTAAACTGGGGGCTGGGACCCCAAAGTGGGTCACAAACCCTTTTTAATGGGGTCACCAGAGCTGGGGTTAGACTTGCTGGGGCCTGGGGCAGAAGCCAAAGCCTGAGCCCCACCAGCCAAGGCTGAAGCTGAAGCTCAAGCCCCACCACCCAGGGCTGAAGCCTAAGGACTTCAGCCCTGGTTGGCAGGGTTACAGGCATCCCGTCTGGGGCTGAAGCCCTTGGGCTTCGGCTTTGATTTCCCCACCCAGGATAGTGGGGCACAGGCTTTGGCTTTGCCCCCTCCACCCAGAGCGGCAGGGCTCAGGCAGGCTCAGGCTAAGGTCCCCCGTCCTGGGGTCATGTAATAATTTTTGTCAGAAGAGGGTTGGGGTGCAATGAAGTTTGAGAACCGCTGATGTAGAATGTTTGACAGGGCAAGTTTCTATCAGTTTCTGTGGCAGTTATGAATGAACAAGAGTTGGAATTAGTTCTTTCTGGTAGATGTTTTTAAAACAAAAGCCCCATCTGAATTCAGAAATTGCTGCATTGCATAGCCAAAGTTGTGAACATCAGTTCTTCTTGGACTGGTGCTGAAAATGGTTTACATGGTAGAGTCAATAGGACATAGCATTTTGCAGCATCTATAAGAAAATATAAAATTGCTTCCTCCAAATCTCAGACTTTCTGTAACTCTGTCTGAAAACATTTTTCTGACCTACATAATTATTTTTGGCAGCAGTTCAGGGCACCAATTGCTATCAAACAACTTCAGCAACCTGTAAGAACAGATCTTCCTTTCATAGGCACCATTTCTACAATGTATTTTGGCGGAACAGAAAAGATATTGGTATTAGGATTACAAAGTAGTAAGAATAAGTAACCAGTGCTTTGTAAAACTGTGTCTTGTAACTGGTGATGGGAGCTTTATTTTTTTCTTTCAGTTTCCAAGAGAACATTAACAGTGATAGAATCATAGAAAGGTAAAGCTGGAAGATACCTTAAAAGGTCATGTTGAGAGACTATGATTACTAGTTTGAGTTTTTGTTGCCTTGAAAGTGGCTTGACTTCAATGCTTCTCAGTCAGAGGACTGAATAGTGCACAGAAACAGATGATCTGAAGGTGGTAGAGATATAGATTCATGCAACATCATACCCTGACGCAAGGGAGCACTCTAATGGCGAATGTGTACCACAACAGGGAAATTTGACAACCTCCATTAGAAGCCTATTTCAATACTTAACTATCCTTATAGTTAAAAAAAAAATCCTAATAGCTAACCTAAATCTCCCTTGCAACAGATTACGCCCATTTTTTCTTGTTCTACCATCAGTGGGCATGGAGAACAATTGATCGCTGTCCTCTTTATAACTGCCCCTAAAATATTTAAAGAGTGTTATCAGGTTCCCTGCTCAGTCTTCTTTGCTGAAGACTAAATATGCCCAGCTTTTTAAACATTTCCTCATTGACCACGTTGTCTAACCCTTTTATCATTTTTGTTGCTCTCCCCTGGACTCTTTCCAATTTGTCCACTCTTTCCTAAAATGTGGCACCCAGAACTGGACACAGTACTCCAGCTGAGGTCTCACCAGTGCTGAGGAGAGTACCACCTTTGCCTTAGATACAAAACTCATGGGCATATACCCCAAAATTACATTAACCCTTTTCTTAACTCATCATATTCTTGACTCCTGTTCAATTGGTGATCCATTATAACCCCTAGATCTTTTCCAGTAGTACTACCATCTAAGCAGTTATTCCCCATTTTGTAGTTGTGCGTTTGATTTTTTTACCTTTCTCAGTATAGCACTTTGCATTTGTCTGTAGTGAATTTAATCTTGCTGATTTCAGATCAGTTTTCTAATTCCTCAAAGTCACTTTGAAGCCTGTCCTCCAAAGTTCTTGCAACTCCTTCATGCTTGGTGTCATCCACAAATTTTATAAACAGGGTGTCTGCTCCATTCTCAAAGTCATGAATGAAAACATTGAATAATCCTGGACCCAGGACAGACCCTTGCAGGATTTCACTAGATAAGTTTTCCCAGTTTGACAGCGAACCATTGAGTATGGTTTTCAACCAGCTGTGCACCACCTCATAGTAGTTTAATCTAGACCAAATTTTTCTAGTTTGCTTAAGAAAATGTGATACGGGACTGTGTCGAAGTGTCAAAAGCCTTACTAAAATCAAGATATATCATGTCTACTGCTTGTCCTCCTTATCCACTAAGCCAGTATTCTTTTTTTTTTTTTTTTTTAATAATGGAGATATCCCATCTCCTAGAACTGGAAGGGACCTTGAAAGGTCATCGAGTCCAGCCCCCTGCCTTCACTAGCAGGACCAAGTACTGATTTTGCCCCAGATCCCCAAGTGGCCCCCTCAAGGATTGAACTCACAACCCTGGGTTTAGCAGGCCAATGCTCAAACCACTGAGCTATCCCTCCCCCAAAGATCTCAGTCAAAGAAGGAAAGTAAGTTGGTCTGGCATGATTTGTTCTTGACAAATCCATGTTGGCTGTTCTTTATTACCCTATTTATTGTGCTCTACGGGCTTAATTGATTGTTTAGTAACTGATTCCAATATTTTTCCAGGTATCCAAGTTACACTGACTGATCTATAATTCTCTGGGTCCTCTTTGTTCCCCTCTTTATATTTGCCCTCCTGCAATCCCCTGGGACCTGACCAATCATCCATGAGTTTTCAAAGATAATTGCTAATGGTTCCAAGATTGTTTCAGTTAGTTCCTTAAGTACCCTAGGATGAATTTCATCATGCTGTGCTACCTCGACTACATTTAACTTATCTAAATATTCTTTAACGTGTTCCTTCCCCCTGGTTGTTAATATTAACTAAGTTAAGCATCTGGTTAACATTAACCTTTTTAGTGAAGACTGATGCAAAATAACCATGAAGCACATACACCTTCTTGTTGTCATCTGTCATTATCTCTCCTCCCTGCTAAGTAGTAGGCCTACACTTTCTTTTGTCTTTCTTTTGCTCCTAAGTATTAAGAGACAAGAAGAAGAGGTTCTATCATGTCCCTTGCTAGATGTAATTCATTTTGTACCTTGGCCTTTCTAATTTTGTCCCTACATGCTTGTGATATTTTTCTGTCTCATCTGTTTCTACTTTTTGTAGGATTCCTTTTTGATATTTCAGGTAATTAAAGCGCACCTGAAGAAACCATAGTGGCCTTTCACTATTCTTCCTATTTTGCCTTTGTATATGGATAGTTTGCT